AAAAAAAAAAATTATATAGATTTATTGGACTTAACATTGAACTCACCTCAACTGGCTTGCTGATCAATGCAGGATGACAAATGCTCATCAATAATTATATTTTTCTGAGGTAATTTTAAGGTGTTGAACTTGATCCATTTCAGACAACAATGATATCCATCATTTTAGAAAATTTCTTTTTGTTAAAATGCCATTCATGCAAAGAGTCTTTCAACCAAGTTATTGTGGTCAACATGAGATCCATTTGCTTTTTCAAACACAAAAGAGGCACTGCACCAAAGATAACAGTACTTAGAAAAGGAATGAATCTATTTCTCCTTGGACTTTGTCATCACCAGGCAAAATATCTTGATTACTGGTATTGTCTGATGGTTGATGGAGAAAAGAATGGGTGAGTGATCTCTTAGGGAAAATTACACTTCCATAACTACCTTTCATGCATTGGCAGTCACAGAAAGGAAGTTCTTATATAGCCATTGTCATCTTTGACAGGGTTCGAACACATCAAAACAATGAAAAGAAAAAAAAAACAAAAAACAAACACTCACACCAAACAAGTGGTCAAACCTACAGGAATATTTATATGAAATAGCATTGGATGGTGAAATCTCAGATGAAACTGACAACTGTTACTCTTATTATGCTTGATGATCATTTTCAATCAAATTTGGATGCTTGAAGATTGGGTAATGGTGAGGGAGCTAGTCTGGTTGGTCATTGCTACTGATGATCGCTTTCAATCAAGACTGTCCCATACTTGACAAATGAGGTAAAACTTAGTAAATAACTATGCAATGAAAATTGGTGGATTATTATCTTAAACTGCTCTCTCTCTTACACACACAAAAAAATTAAGACAAAATCTGCTTATCCAGTTATCTATTATATTTAATTTTCAGTTGTAGAATCTGATGTGGTTACAAAGTTCTCATTGCAATTTGCTTTAACTATGAGCTTCAGCTAATATAATAATGAAAAATTACATGAATAGATAATTTAGTCAGATATATGAAATTACAGCTCAAATCCATTTCCCCTAAATCCCTGGTGACCTAGGCTTAGTTAAAAGCGATATGATTCTTCTTGAAGAATCCCCATATATATATATATATATATATATATATATATATATATTTGATAAAAATATAGTTTTATGCTATGTCATATTTATGGATATAAGTACTTAATATCAGGGATAGAGAATATGTAAATATAAAAATGGGCATTAATGTTGACACCAAGAGATAACACTGTTTCATTCTGAAGCTTGCATTCAATTATGAAACAGACTGTCACTGCTCAGTGTTGACCTCAGTGTCAACTTCTATATTTCTCACATCTTGTAGAGTTTATAAGCATGTGTATGTACTTACTGCTACAGAAAGTAGACAACTCATATTAAGCACTAATTTTAGGTTTATTCATCAAAATCCAAAACTTTTATTTGAAGAACGGTCCATGATCACAAGATCATCTTCAAATAAAAAAAAATGTTTCATTTAATAAATTTACAGGTCCAAGCTGGAATGATTTTAGCAACATTAATTTGTTTTCAAATTAATGAAATTCACAATTGACCTCTCTGTGTCCAATTGAAAAGTTGCACAGCAATGAAATAAAGATTGCATTTAATATTTAGGTCCAATGCAAAGGATAGATATGAATGTAAAGTTCCAAAGATAAGTAGACACATCAACAAGTGGGTAAAAAAAACTAAAAAGTTAGTCAAACCAAAATTGACAAAACTTTTCCTCTGGACTTGCAGTTTTCAACAATTGATGATCATTGAAATTAATTTTTCAGTTCATTCACACTAAAACATTCATTCAGTTTTCCAGGATTATATAAGTATGTGGTGGTGGAGGAACTTAACTAATGTTAGTTATTTCTTCCTATCATATTTTTAGAGTGAGTGATTAAAAATATACTAGCTGAGCCAGAAGGTTGCTTTTGGGGTATAACACCTTTTATACCACATCTTTCTTTTTGTAAACTGATAAAGACAGTAAGAAGTTTTGATTTTTACCTCATCCCATTTTTAGAAATGGGTAGAGAAATGAAGTGCCATCCATTTTTATTCTCAGATCAGATGACAACCAAATTGGAGCCCACTATGTTGCCAATAGCAACAGGTGGTGAAAGTTCAGGAATGGATGGGTGGAGATTTCACAAATACATTTTGTCAGAGTAATATATATATATATATATATATGTTCATATTAAATCTTTAATATTTTTGTTTCTTTACACATTAAACACTTCACACTTAAATGTACAACTCGGCAAAAAGAATTAAGATGTCTGCCAATATGCCCATGACTTAAATATAAATTTCTTTTGAATTTTACTTAAATATTGTTCCAAGTTAATAATCTTCAAACAAACAAGTGAAAAACTCACTAGCAGAAGATAGAAAAAAACTGGAGTTACAGCTGGAATTCATACTTGTCAAATGCTTCAAGACCCAAAATAAATAAATATTTGTAACATTCTGAGTGGTCTCACAAATTTAATTACTAAATTGATTGACAAGAACATAGAGCATAACTGACAATATAAAAAGTCAGTGATAACAAGACTCAACCTGCTGTCTGCAGTCATCATTATGTAAGTAAAACCAGAAAATAAGGAAAATTATATCTTTTCTCCTGTCTTTGTATTTTTTATTGAAGTTTTTCTTGTTGTCCTGAATTTATTTTTTTTTCTTTCACTGATATACAACTTACCAGGTCACTTTTTTTCCTGTTATAGTAGCATTAAGGGCAGGTTATTTTCCCATGATCCTTTGTCTGAAAAGGACCCTGTCAGTCACCAAAACAGATGGTTGACATTTCATATTTAGCTGTCCACCCCAGAAATAAAAAATAAATTCTCATATTGAGAAATGATATTATCTGTAAGTACACACACACACAAAAAAAAAAGTTCTGAGATTTGGGAAACCTTCACTTTGACAATATTATTTTCAAAATTAACATCTACACATTTCACATAACATGGAGTAATTTTATTTTCATGTTAACAAGAGTTCAAAAATGTTTACATTTAATTAACCCATTGTAGAATGGCCACTGAACATTTAAGAAAATTATAGTCCCTGAGTGGGAGATTTGGAAATGATTTTTGAATTTGGGCAAAAAGAAAAGCTGCATCCATTAAGGTTATGGCTCTTCCCCCCATCAAACCAACCCCTAGCCCAATATCTTCCTCTTTATTGGGCTTAGAATCATTGTATCTCTAAATGGTCTTCAAGAACAGTATATATCATTTTAAAAACTTAGTTGGTCACCCAAACAAAGCAACAAAACATTGATTAATAAATGAAACGAGATGTAAGAAGCACCTTAAAATGAGCTGAGATTTTACAAATGCAGTAAAAGTATGGAATTATAAAAATAAATTTGTTATTGTGCTATTTTTTAAGGTAGGTATTAAAAATGCTTCAAACTTTTAATTCTTAAGACTGAGCCAATTGTACTCTAAAACAATTCTCAAACATCTCATTATCCTTTGTAAATTAAATTCCTGTATGGTGTAGTGCACACGCAATATCTCCCAGTCCCAGCTAAACCATGAATTTTTAAATGTTGATTTCTCTGAGAAATTGAAAACAAGCTGAAAGAAACCTTAAATTGAGAATCACTGGTTCATAGGTAGAATTTTACAAATTCAACCTGTCAGTTAATTTTTTTTTTTTTTTTATAACCTTTTGATATAATTGTGATTAAAGAGGGTGTGCAGTTGAAGGACCCTTAGTAACAAAAAAAATGTTACAAAATAAAGGAAAAGAATAGTGCCCTTAACCAACATGTGGGCACTAATTACTAATGCTTCAATTGGTAATTAGTGTCTATATGTTGATGTTTGATAAGTGAATATTTTTTATTTTATTTCTGTTTATAAGTAGTTTAAAAAAAAAAAAAAAAAAAAAGAAAAAAAAAAAAAAAAGAAAGTAAAATAAAGTAGAATTAATGAAACAAAAAAAAACACAAACATGCAGGTTCTGAGGTGCATTATGCAAAGACATGTTTTTCTTTGAGGGATCAAGTGATTGAGACATTACTAAACAAATTCCAAAATAATTTCATTTCTAAATGTATGGTATTCTTTTTACAATAAAAAAAAAAAAAAGAAAGAAAGAAAGAAAGCTAAGTTGGCAAAATCACGGAAAGAAAAACAAATAATTGTGATCATAAACAAAGAAAAAGACATTTTTGGGGAAATTAATGGCATGTATACATGTAAGTGGTAAGTTTACTTCACAAATATTTTTCATTCTAGGTGGATTAACATCACTGAAATAATCTTGCTACATTTGATAATCACCACAATGCATTTCTGTAAACATTTGGAATACAGTCAGAGTAACAATCAAAGGAGTCAGTAATTGGATACAAAACTTCAGCCAGACCAATCATATTATTTAGTTACTACTCATACAAAATTTACATTTTAGTCATATTCACACCATAAAATAATAAATCATATTTAGCCACCTAATGGGCGTATTTATTGCTTGGTTAGTCAGGATAAGAATGGTCAGTCTGTGTTTTAAGGAAAAGCACAGCAGAAAAATAACAGAGTAGAGAAAAATTAGGTTAATAACCAAGGAATCATTTGATCAAAAGATGAAATACCCCCCAACTCCCCCAAAAAATAGTGTGAAACTCAGCAAAAACAAACTCATAAAATATAGCAGAATGCCAACATGATTGAAAGATTAAGAGCAACTGGATGGATCTGTTTGTAGGATTGAACCACAATACTGACTACTTTAGTGCCTTTTTTTTTTGTTTATATTTCTATTCGTTTACAAAATGCATATAATGTGGAAAGAACCAAAAGTAAGACAACTATTTAATTTTTCTTTTAAAAACTTTGATGGTACCACCCAACAAAATCTCAGCAGTTTTTTTTTTTTTTTTTTCCAATGTTTTCAGTGACTATTTCTCACACCCAAAGATTTGTGAAGTGAGAGTTTCAACTGGTGCTATAATTTTTCATGACCTCTGCGAGATGCCATGCTTTAACGGCTTCATACCACAGGAACTGCCACAGGAGGAAGACCACTTGGGAGACACAGGGTAGGACCTGGAACAGCTGTAGCCGTTGTCCCCTCTCTGTGAGCAAGGAGAACTCATCATCGGAGGGGGCGATCGCTGGGACATCTGGTGAGGACATATTGCTGCCATTGATGCTGGTGAGATGGTCGACAGTCTGTTGGACATCGGTTGGTGGCTTGATGACATTCCACAAGGAGAGAGTGGTGGTGACATACAACTGCAGTTGCAGCCACAGGACAGAGGCGGTGATGGAGAAGGTGGGGGAGGAGGTGCATGGTGGTGGCGATGCTGCTGAGGAGGCGGCTGCTGCTGCTGCGATTGTTGCTTATAACTGGGAGGAGGGCTGTCCAAACTGACCCCGGCTTTAGCCAGTTCTTCGCTCCAATGGCTGCGTTCATGTTTCTTCATATGCACCCTCTGGGGGAAGCTCTTGCCACATACAGCACAAGTAAAAGGCTTCTCACCCGAGTGGGTTCTCTGATGGATTGTCAGGTGAGCCTTCTGGGCAAATGACTTATCGCATTGGAAACATGAATAGGGTCTCTCACCTGAAAGTTTTAAATCAAAAACAATTGTTCTAAATTTTTCTTACTTTAGTTAACTTATATTACATTTTTGACACTGACAAAAATGTTTTTAGGTTTCTACAAAAAGTATTTAAAAAAATAATGACTGATTAGCTACGTCTTTCTTTACAGTAATACTTTTCAGAAAGTATTTGGCATTAATTTGCTAAATTTGCTTACTGTTTACAAATAGACAACATTCCAAAAGTTCGAAATTACACATGCCATTTCTATGAATTAAGAAAACTCCTTCTCTGTAGTCAATGGTAAGTTAAATAATTATTATACAATAAATTAATTTTTAATACAATTCATCATAAAAAATTATAAGTCAATAAAATATGAACAAAAAAACATGGTTTGGTAAACTAATCTTTGTGCCTGCAAAATACATAACAAAAAAGTCTGTCAAAAAAGACATTATTATTTGTACAACCTTCCCTTTCTTAGCAGTGTTTAATTACAGCATTATAACAATATGTGAAACAAGTACAATGTTATAAAGATCCATTATTTATAATTTTATAAAGAAATATATATGTAAAGAAATTTTTATTCAAAAATTTAAAAATATTTTACAAAATATGTAAACCATGTACAATGCAGTATTCTTTATTTACCATTTTATAAATAACTATGAAAAGTTTTTATTCATAATTTTATGTAAATATTAATGAATTACAAAACAAATATTTATTTCTTTATAAAATGATAAACATTGCATTAACTGGTTTGCATTTTAAGAAGGTTGCAAATATAAAATTATTTTTGTAAATAATCTAATAAATAGTGTATAATATTTTTGTGAAGTCTCAAAGAACAAAGAAAATGTATAAATTCAACTTCATGTTTTGGGTTTATTAAAATTCTAATCATTGCTTTTTAAAACAAACATTTTTGAAGGAGTGAAGATAGTTAAAAATAATAGTGGTGACAAGGGAAAAAAACATCCTTTCGCCACAATGTTTTATTGCAGGCACAAAGTTTAAAGATTGCCAATGTTTTTTTATATACAAATAAAGAATTCATACATATCTACTAACATAACAAATTTTATTAATACTTTTTTTGGATAATTCCATTAATATATTTTTAATAAAATAATCCATATATAAATTTCAAATAAAAAAAAAAATCCATTACTAAAATAATGCTCTTTAAAAAGATTTTTCTTGGGCCAAGTATGCTTTCTCTATATATAATTTATATGTAACTTTAAATGTAAAATACAGTTTAATATTGAAGAAAGTATATAAATAAAAAGAAAATTTTTATTTATACAGTACTTATCAAAAGATAACTTAGGCATTCAGAAATCAGAGAAAAAGCAATTAAGTGTTTATATAATCAATATTTGGCTAAAAAAAAAAAAAAAAAAAATCAAATTACCAAATATGGCAATAAGAAACATAATGCACATTTATAGTTTATGAAAATTTGAACAGATGATAAAGATCTACATCAACACTAAAAAAGCTGGAAAAAGAAAACAATGCAGAAAACATTGATAAAAAGAGCCGTTAACTCTGACTATTGAATTCTGTAAGCCATCAGGGTAAAAGGTGCACCAGAGCTGTAGTGGCTGTGGGCATGTCTAGTGCAAGATGGAGCTAATCCCTCTTCAGGCTTGTTTTGAATTCTGTTCTTCTCTTAGACTGGTTACCACACAAGGCTAGCAAATCCACTTGCCTTACTATTTAATCCATAGATGGAGGAGAAAAACAAGCATCGTTGTGATAGTGAATGCAAGTGACTAAGCTGTAATTTGAACTTTGTTTTCTGATTACACTTTCTGCACTAACATCCACTATACAACCACAGTTCTGCTACCAGTGAGGATAAAAATGTAACCCATTTGAAAAATTATAGTCATTTGTTTCAATATATTAACTAAAAATATACTAACAATTTATTTTAAACCAGTGAACAGGATTTTTTTTATTTGTAACATACTGACACGCTTACCTGTGTGAGTCCTTAGGTGATTGCGCAGGTGAGAACGCTGGGCAAATGCCTTGCAGCAAAAGGTACAGTGGAAAGGCTTCTCCCCAGTGTGCACGCGTTCATGGTTATTCAAATGGTCACGCTGGGCAAAAGCCTTGTGACAATATGAGCAGCTGTAGGGCTTTTCTCCGGAGTGAATGCGCGAGTGCACTTTAAGGTGGACCTTCTGGGCAAATGCCTTGGGGCAAGAAGGACACTGGTGGGGCTTGACTCCAGTGTGGGTCAATTCATGGTTGCGAAGAAATACCTACAACAGAAATGTTTTTCAATTATAAACTGTTCATGTATTTTTTTTTTAAAGAAAAGAACAGAAAATTCATTGGTAGCGATGGAAGAGTTAAAAATTTTCTTGAAAAATTTAAATGAATTGTCAATCATCTTTGTCTCCTTTATTGGCCACTCTCCATAACATTTTTTTTGGCACTCAGTAACCCCTTGTGTCTTACTGGCTTTATTGCCTGACTTGGAGTGAAATAATTAAGAAAAAAAAAAAAAAAAAAAATGCAGTTATAAAGTAATATTGTAATCAGGAAAATAAAGTAAGCATCATGAAAAATTTTGATTTGGCAAAGAAATGTGAGTGTATGTGTGAGTGAACTGTTTCTCCAATATAAATAATAACATAATATCAACAAACAACTTTTTCTTCAGGATAAAAAAAATCTCTAAAGTTTCACATAATATTCAACATAAAATCAACAACAAGACAAAAGTAATATCAATTATTTCAACTTTACTGACTCATTTGTTTGCTACACTGACTTTTTTGTTTTTAGGACAGAATTTAAAAATTATAAAGTAAGTCTTGAAAAGCCACTACTTCCTTTCCTAAGAACAGTTTTGCCTATTAACATATAAAGAAAAAAAAGGAAGCTGTGGAGAGTTATAATTACTTACATTCTGAATGGATACCATTAAACAAAAAAATTAAAAAAAAATAATAATGAAGAAAAAATATAAATTTTATTTTTAGACAAAAAAATTCTGATTAATTTCAATCTAATATTTTTGGCCATTAGATTTTTCAAACCAGGAAGAGTTCAATCACTGGATTATTATTCAAATTAGTTTTTTTGTTTTTGTAGTTTTTATTTGTTTATTTTTATACTGTTTTGTTCTGTATCATTTGGTGTTTGTAGTGTTCTGGAATGTTGCCATGAGAACATGTGCATGTATTCTCAGGACTGACTTCTCATGAATGTGTGACTTTTCATTGAACTTATACCCATCTCTCTCTCTCCATGACTATGAAATCTCAAATTCATCATTTTTTAATTCATGATCAATGGTTGCCACAAGCTATTAATGTCTTTTCACAGTTTGCTGACTGAATATGGAGGGAGGTTTTTGCAATCATTTTTTTAGCTTCAAGGGTTAATGCAAACCACATACAATAGTTAAAAAACAGTATTTGGCCAGTGTTTTTTAATTTATCAAATACATAAGCCTGTTAACTGGCCAGACTTCAAAACAATTACCCTTTTGTTTCAGACAGCATAAACTGTACAGCTAATGTTCCCAATGTTTTATCAGTATTTTTCCTTTTGTATATATTGTAAAATTTTGCAAGGAGATATTGACATCTTAAATACCAAGCTCAAGAATGATAAAGCACTCAAATCCAATGAAAATGCATTTTTAATAATTATTTGGCCTCTCTCTCTCTCTATATATATATATATATATATATATATATATATATATATAATATATATATATTTTGGTTTTCAGTAATGTATGATCATTTCCAGATGGGATTATGAAAACTTGTTGGTATACAAACAGAGGTAATTCAATTTTTTTTTAATCAATTCACTCCATGCAAGGTGATAATGCCACTAAGATGCAAAGGGTTATTGGGGATGAAAGAGAATGAGAAGACTTAAGGAGGAACTGGAAACCCAATCCTAAACAAGAAGAAATAAACCTCTACTCCGGTTCAAAAGAGCAGGGAGGTATGTGAACAATAGATGACTTATTAAATATGTACATGTGTGTGATAACAAAGAGAAAAGTTGCAAGGGTGTCAATCCTGAAGAACTCCTGCTTTGACATTGAAGAATTTAGAGTCTGTGTCTGGTTATCTAAATGATTTGGTATTTTTGTATAGCATCACTATGGCAGCTACTGACCTTGATGCAGGACTGTGATGATTGGCATGGTAAACCCAGGAATGTTTGAACTAGCTTGACTGAATAAAAACATGTGTAAAAAATCAGGTAACTAAAAATATATGTGAAAAGATAATATGAATAAAGATAAAAGGAAAACTTAGAGAAAGCACTTCATCCTCTTTTAAAGAAACATCTATGAACACAAAAAGGATCTTATACATAATTTATCAAATGCATTAGTCATACATAAAGTGAAGTTCAATCACAACTTTGATCAAAAGAATGCCACACTTATTAAAAGATAAATTAACTTAGAAAATTCTTGAAAAGGCCACTAGCAAATCTTACCAAAATATAAAACTGTGCCCTCGATTTTTTCAATATCTCCATTCCTAAAAGAAATACTCATTTCCAAAGCCAGATATATGGCTATAAAAATTTAAAAAGATAAAAAAAAAAAAAAAAAAAAAAAAAAAGCTAAATTCAAAACTTTCTATTATTTAAAATATTTAATACATAAATTAATTTTTCAAACTGAAATATAATCGCCCTTTGCCACTTCATGCTTCGACTTTCACGACTTCACTATCATAGTTTTTTTCAGATCTTTTCATTAAAAATTATATTGCGGTTCCTCGCTGATTTGCAGTTGACTATGGTCTATTACAGGGTTGGAAAAAAGTTCTTGCCCAGATCTCAGGAGCGGGCACACAGCTGATCCTTCAGTTGATCAAGACAGTGAAGATAATACAGCATGCACTTGGTTGCCTGAGCCAGTTATAGATCCCGCCTTAAAATTACTGTAGGCCAAATTGTTTGAGCATCCCCACAAATCATTCAATGCCAGGTGCAGCCACTCTACCACATATTGTGTGAGGGCAAGATCTTTTTTCCAGACCTGTATTATTCAAAAATCGGATGTGAGGAAATCAAGGCAACCAGAATGTGCTGTTCACTGATTGGCTATTATTGCGGGTGTGCTGTGGATCACTTGTTGGTGATGTGTTTGGCTGTGTGTTGGTACAAAGGAATCCTCAAACAAAATTGTTCAGAAGATATTAAATTGACAACAGAGTATAAAACAACAAGGCAATAGTATTTGATTAAAATGAAACCAAATTTTATTTTTGGCAACAAAATCAAAACTACATACAGAGATATTTCTGCAAATAAGATAATTGATTTCAAGAGTGTGCTGAAATTAAAACATTATGCTTATTGGTCCTTCCAACATATCAAGAATGTTTATGCAAATGATTTAGAGGAGCAGTAACCTTTGTTGAGCAGTACATCTTATCGCTTCATCATTGAACAAGTTGCATTTTTTTCCTAGGTTCACATTAACCTAGAAAAATAATACAACTTGTTAGATGATGAAGAGATGTACATGTAAGAACTTTGTGTGTGATTTTAATGTACAATAATATGATATTTGTAATATTTAATATGCCTTATTTTCTCTTATTTCATCTAATATATTGGGTAATATAAGTGTAAAGGTACCTACAGGAATATCATTTCATGTCCAGAGTGCTCTTATAATGTCAAAAACTGTATTTGAAAGGTTGTAAACAGGTTTTCTATACTCTAATTACAAAAATATTCAATTTATAAATAAAGAATCCTACTTTGGGGAAATTCACTTATCATGGTAGAGTCTAGAACTGATTAACTGTGATAAACAAGGGATGACTGTAATATGAATGAAATAAAAATAATATAAATATAATAAGAAAAATAATAAGAAATTTAATAACACTTATTCACTTTTGTATATTAGACATTAAATTATATCACTTAGCATCCTCCATAATTTACCTTGACATTCATTTAACCTGAAGTATATTTGTGTGTTCTTATATATAAAAAAAAATTATCAAAATCTAGCTTTTTTACTTCTGCATATAAATATCTAACTATTTGAACACTCAACTGCATATACAATAAAGCTAAAAGATATATATATATATATATATATATATATATATAGAGAGAGAGAGAGAGAGAGAGAAAAAGCTGATAGGGAAATGCTTCTTTAACCATGCATGCTGTTTATCAAAGAAGATTAATATCTCCCATTGATGTTAAAATTTAAATTATTGTTTTATAGTGGGCAAAAATAAATGAATAGAAGCCTTCATCAAAATTTTAACTATTTAAAGGATTATTTCAAAAATGAAATTATTTTCAAATTAGAATGGAGACAATCACAGCAAATAAGAGATGACTTCTTTCCAGTAAATATTTGACAGAATATTAGTCCTAATACAAATACTTACAATGTGGAATAAATAATTAACTACCTGAAAAAAAAAAAAAAAAAAAAAAAAAAAAAAGGTTGAACTAGCTGTTTATTTAACCAGATATATCAGATTGGATTTTGAACAAAACTTTCAGAACCTTCATTCACACTAATGATCATATGAAAAAAAAAAAAAAAAAAAAAAAAAAATAAAATAAAATCACAAATTTTAATTACTTTTTCACCTGGTATATATCGACAGGGCTTCAGCTTTCCTTATCACTACCAACTTTACTGATATTCTACTGTTTCCTTAATTAGCTATGGTCATTTTCAGCATTAAAGATTATTAGCAACAGAGAAAAAAAAAAAAAAAAAAAATGGTTAAACACTGAATTTTTTCTTACCTAAAATCTTTTTAAACTCATCTTAGAACACAATCTATGTTATGCATTCAGCAAAAGAGGCATTACCAGTGATTAGAATGTCTTGCTAACAGGATAGGTGGTATTGGGTGTATAATTATGAACAATATAAGGTATATTACGAAATTTATGTTTCTACAAAACTCTGTGATTATTTTCTAATAAGACTACAGACAATTACACATTATGCTTGCTCCAAGATGCTACCATAAATATAAAGAATAAATACAGCATTCCCAAAATAATAATCAATGACAATTTATCTTAAAATGCTAATTAAATTTTTAATAAGTTATCCTTGATGAAGACATTCAAGCAAAAATTTAGTCCTAACTATAATTGTAGAAGAATTAGTGTGACAAGATTATGAAGGCTGACCAAGAGAGATGACCTTAAACTATTCAGGTAAAAATTCCTCCAAACCCAAACTAATTTTAAATCTATTACAAAATCTTTCACAAAGTACATGTCCAAAATCTTTATATGATGCTTCACCCCTTTGGCCTTATACCAAGTTATATTACTTATGCTTTACTTTTTATGATAATAATACATATTTGTATAAATGTCACATTGGTGTTAAAAAAAGGTGAAGGAACAAAATATTTATCATAAATCTACAAATAAAATGACCTAATATACTTCTACTCCCATTAAAACCAAAGGATAAAGGAGAAATTATAGGTTTCTACTCAAAAGCTCTTAGAATCTGTAGTCCCCAATTTCTAGCCCAAGAAAGAAAAATACATGGAAAACACTTTCAAACATCTCCAATATCAGATTTCCTGTTAAATGCTACATGCAGAGCTTACAAAATTCACAGAAGAAAAATCCACAAATTATAATAATGCCCAGGATCATGACAAAATTAGGTACATAATTTTACATATCAACCCCATATCAGCCACCATTGAAAATAACTTACCCAACCATGATCTAAAATTCATCAACACCACTTCTAAAACAATCAAAGAGAAAGTCAGCACCAAAGAAAATAGCAAGAACAATAAGACAAAGTCAGGAATATACAAAACAAATGGTACAAAATGCTCAATGATGTACATAAGCCAAAAGATCTAGAAATCTTAAAACAAAGATGAGAGAGACTATCACAAGAATCTATCACATAACACTTTAAATGCATTGGTAGTTCAATGCAACACATCTAGCCACAATTTTTACAAAATAAACACCAGCTTCATTAGAAGATAAAAGTATTCACTACCAATAAAATGCATTGAAAGTATACTGATCTCACAATACTTCATGTTCAACCACAGAGAGTCTTATATACAATATCACTGATCATTGCAAAAGCAATAACACAATGCAACAAATTAACTAATAAAGGAAAAAACACATCTATGAGTGGACTAATTTAAAATCCAGCAGATGTTAACAGCTTCAATATGAAAAAGAAAAAGAAAAAAGAAAAGCATCCGATAACTGCATTTATTACCCTGTCCTCAAAAATTCCAATGCACCTTCCTTACACACAGGGTTTGTTTCTCATTCTGACCTGAAGATGCTTGCACCAGATGGCAACAAAATGCACTGTCTTTAAAAGCTTTTCCACTTTTATTTCAATGTTATTCTACATCTTACTAATACCCAGAAACAAAATAACTGAGAAGGAAAAGGTACTCACCTTTTGAGAGAAGGTCTTGGAGCAGTATGAACAACTAAAGTGTTTTTCTCCAGCAGTTGAGCCGGTGTCTGAACATGCAGCATGCTCGTGGTTATGCAAGTTAGCTTTTCTTGAAAAGGATTTCCGACAAATTTCACACTTGAAGGGCTTGTCACAGATGCTATGGGCAGTGCCATCGCCTTCATTGCTCACACAGAGAGTGCTGTCATCAGTATCCCCAATTGCTCCTGTATTATTATGTTCAACTCCACTGCTGTTATTATTACTATTGCTACTACTAGTATTACTATTGTTGCTGTTGTTGTTGTTATTGTTGGGAGTTGGTGTTTGTGTTGGGGTTGGTGTTGGTGTTGGTGTTGGGGTGGTACTGACACTGCCTCCACTGCCGCTAGCACCATTGCCTCCACTGGGAGCTGTAGTAGTATTTGTATTAGGGTTTGTGTCCTGACCAAGTCTCTCCGGAGAGATTGAAGAATTTTTAAGGTTAATAGTGTTTGGGTAGACAGGCTGGCCTGTACCTATACAGCTAGTGGTGTCATAGGCAAACTGGTTGTATATAGGCTGCATAGAATACATTGTGATTTGGTACCCCGAAAGGGGAGAAACCAGATCCTTAATGCAAATTCTAAGTTTGCAAGAGAGGTAAAAGATGCAAGACGTACAAGTCAAGCAGCAGGTTTATCTATTTATATACTCCTCTAAGTGGTTTTATATTTGCAGTTAATTATTATCAACAGTCCAGTAAACATTTCTTATAAGGAGATGCAAAAAAAAAAAAAAAATCTAAAGAAAAATTTTGATCAAAGAGGTATTGAACCTTTCTGTTGCTGCTGCTGTATATGATTTGTATTACGAATAACTGTTTTTATTCCTTCTGTTCTTCAAGGAAAATAATTATTGAAGATATCTGCCAACATCTTATGGAATCAAAATATCTCAAGAGGAGAGCAGGTGCTAATACAAGGAACCTGGAAAATAAAAGAATCAAAATGACATTAATTTCTAAATAATCACTGGAGAGTAAAGATAATATAACTTGGAATTCACCAAAGAAGATTTACATAAACTTGCTTTTTTTCTGCAATTGTCATGTCAGAGGACAAGAATGTTTAAGTTCATGAGCTTAACACAAAATGTAGTTATTAACAAACAAAGTTTTTAACTGAAATTTAAATTCAATTTTGTGAGCGACCTATATGGAGGCATGGTAGAATAATGGATAGTAGCTTGGATTGAGGAGTCAGAGAGCTGAGTTCCTGCTGAATTCATTACATTCACTTGCATGCTAATACCCTTGGGGAAAGGTATGAATCCTCTTCTCCCTCCAGCTATGGGTAAATAGCAGGACAGACCAGGTTTTATAGCCTTGGATGGCAACTGGTCTACTGCAGAAAGAAATGGTAACCTACTGCAGGAAAAATATCTGCCTCATCAGTCATGTATCTAAAGTTACATGATTACCTAAGCATGTATCACTCAGAGCACATAACTGACTGACTGAGCTACCTAAACAAATATACATTCTAGTCGGATAATGCTCAGGTTATATGGTAGAGTCACTGTTACTGATGAAAATAATGATTTGGGCCATTGTAGTCATCCTGACAATTAAATGGCAATATTGTCTTTAACATTACATATGCCTGGCCTACTGATAGTGTTGTCAAAACCAGATTTCACCACCTGTTCACCACCTGCTTCAAAACATGTAATTAAAATAAAAGAATTGTCAACAAAGCCCACTAGAGGTTCATAAGTCTAAATCTGGTTAAGATAGTATAAAAATTCAAACATAAAATAAAAAAGAAAAGAAGAAAAAAAAAAGATCTCTAATTTTGAAGTAGGCTGCTCCTACACAATGTTGCCCTGAATGATTCAAAAGCATATACCACTCTATGGTCAATTGGTATTATTAAATTTGGATGTTAACACACATATCTGGCTTGACTGTGCCATCTGGGAAATGTTACAGCTGTTTCTTCAATTCATTTTCTGATATTCCAATTATTTATTTTTTGTATGCAGAAGGGAAAAAAGGAAAAAGATAGAAAATAAAAGTTATGCCAGAATTTGATTGAAATAATGATCTAGATCCACATTACATTCACAAAAGGTTCAGGGAGTAAATAACATGTTTTTCTCATTTTATAAGTATGGGAGAATGTGTAGTTCCAATATGTAATTACCCATTGAGGTATTAGTCAAGATATAGAATAGTAAGCCATAGAATAAATAACAACAACCTATAAATATGCAAAGTTATATAAAAAACTGAGGAAAGAAATTTTGAAAAATATGAATAGAAAAATAAGAAAGCAATGTTTAACATGTGCCCATTAAAAAAAAGTGTATGAAAAGGAGAGTTATTCTATTATCTATTGTGCTGAGTATTTGCAATCTTCCTGTTTCAAATAAGGTTTTTAAGCTGAGTAAAAATTTCTGAAAATGTTAATTATATATAATGCAACACCCCCCACTTGCTGCATTTAAATTTTTTTGTATTACAGTGTAACCCGGATATAAGAGAGATTTTCTCATGTCCCAAATTAGAGATTGTGTTAATGTATATAAAATAGACCAAACCCGGATATAAGAGAAACCCGAATATAAGAGAGAGTTTCTCTGGTCCCAAATTAGAGCCTGTGTTAATGTATATAAGAGAAACCCGGATATAATAGAGAGTTTCTCTGGTCCCAAATTAGAGCCTGTGTTAATGTATATAAAATAGACCAAACCCGGATATAAGAGAAACCCGAATATAAGAGAGAGTTTCTCTGGTCCCAAATTAGAGCCTGTGTTAATGTATATAAAATAGACCAAACCCGGATATAAGAGAAACCCGGATATAATAGAGAGTTTCTCTGGTCCCAAATTAGAGCCTGTGTTAATGTATATAAAATAGACCAAACCCGGATATAAGAGACTTCTTCTCCGGTCCCGACAACTCTCTTATATCTGGGTTACACTGTATGTGGAAAACATATTGTAGTTAAATAATGTATACACTTGGAAGTGATTCTGTAAATTGAGATTTTTGCCACTAGTGAGATACAATATGGGAAACAGATGAAATTATTATCAGGTTAGAAAATGAAAGCAGCACAGAGTTCAAATTCTGGTTCTTCTGTAAAAAACAAGGGTAGGAATTTTTTCCTCTTACTAATATCCTGTAACCCAGTACTACCTGCAACATGATACTTGGAGAGTAACTACCATCATACACTGCACTAAGCTGAAGGGCAGGATCTCAGACAGTCCAGCCCAGTATGGTATCCTGATATTTCATATGTATCATTTTTTTTTTTTTTTTTTTACACCCTAATACAAAGCCTGAGATCCAGTCATGGTAAAGGTTTACTGAATATGGTTGTTATAAGAGTGTAAGGAAGAGGAGGTAAGAAGTGCAGATTATGAGGATATGTAGGATAGATAGGAGTTGACTCTAGACTTGTAGGGATTGGGGGAAGCAGCCTCTTTATAACGAAGAAAATGGCAACTTACCTCATCAAACCAAGTGACAGCGCATCGTGTGTATCCTATGACAGAAAATGTATCGGAAAAGAAAATTACTTACCAAAAAAAGGGCCCGTATTTTGCATAACATGCTGAAGACGGAATGTTTAAATTAAAAAACATGTCTGTTGCAGGAGTCACTATAAAAGTATTTCGATAATGCTCAGCTGATAAAAGCAGTTGGTGTTCTCGAATCAGGGGATGAAATGTGTGTATTTTAGTTACTGCATTTGGAGAGTGAGTTATTTTTCTGACTGGTTACATGTATTGTGATTTGTGAGATAGTATCTTTGAATAGAGTTTTTGGCATTTCTTTCTGTCCCTGATATTCAAGTCTGAACTTACAGGGATTTGTCCTTTGTGTTGTGGAATTAATCTGTGACAAGTATTTCCTTTGCTTTCAGAATGCTTACAAGCTATTTTGGCGCTATGACATTTGACGTCAAGTTTGATGGTTCAGGGACCGGACAAGCAGTTACTGAATGGATTGAGAAGGCAGAACTTGTTTGTGACCTGTGTGGAATTAAAAAGGTTGAACGTGTTCTTCCTCTGAGGTTGACGGGTGGAGCATTTGCTGTTTACCAACAGTTAAATTCAGAGGAAAAATCAGATGTCGAGCAAATGAAACGAGCCCTGTGGATTACCTTTGCACCGGATCGTTTCATGGCTTACAAGCAGTTCGTGGAACGCCAACTGCGCCTGGATGAATCTGTCGACATGTTTCTAGCCAACTTGAAGAAGCTAGCAGATCTTTTTGGCGGGATATCCGAGCAAGGACTAGCATGTGCATTCATAGCAGGGTTACCAGCACACATCAAGCAACTACAGCGCTCATCTTCCAAGATGAAGACATGAATACAAACCAACTGTTGGACCGAGCTTGGGCCATAATGAAAGATCAAAAAATGCATCTGAAGAAATAGTTGCACCATTTCACTATTTACATAAACATCCAAATGTTAAACGAAAGGGTATGCAATGCACTGGGTGGACACTTTCCAGGGACTGCCCACAGAAGATACCTGCCAGCCACGCAGGGTCACGACAATGCGTTGTCTGTCTGTCAATGCCCACATTGCTTCATCGTGTCTGGGAAAGGGAAGGACAAGACGTCAGCTCTCTTCCCTAAACAAAAAATGAGACACAAATGTTGTGGGTTTTAAGTGAACGGAATTAAGAGAGTGGCATAATGCTCAAACCCCTCAAAATCAAAGTCTTCAATCCTGTGGATGGAAAATACTCTCAAATGTTGGGGAGTTGACTTGTTTGCGTGATAATGCAAACCCCCTTAAAAGGTTGGAGAGCTGTTGGGGTTTGACGGCACTTAAAAAATAGAAGAACCTGACAGTGTGGTGATGTTTGGTTTCAAACTGGAAATAGTCTGTTGCATTATTAAAATAGAAGAACCCGGTTCTGATGGTTTGATCCCTAACCGAAGATATTTGTTGCATCATGGATGCCCTGATGGTATACAATACCAAAGGGAGTCCAGGAGGAATATGACCGTGAGCTGCAGACCTGGCTGGATAATGGTTGGTTGCAGCCTTATCCTGAAAAGGAACTTGGTCCTTCAAAAGGTTTAATTCCATTGATGGTGGTGGTGCAGAAAAACAAAAATAAAGTGTGGCCAGTATTAGATCATCAAGAGAATGAATGAGTGTCTCAACACACATGCAGCCAATGCTGACGTGTGTGC